AAATGTTCCCCACTATTGGGGTCATCTCAGGTCTCTGTAGTGGGGAGTAGTGTTTTGCATTTGCATCTTATCTTTACTAGCTACTGGCAGGGCACTCTGTATAGCATTTGCAGTGTGGTTGGGTTGAGGGGCCTGGCCATGCCCCATGGACTTCATACTGCTAGGGCTCTAGAGCTCAGGGACCATTTGGAGGCCTACCCTCAGGGATCCTCTGAAGGTGTGAGGTGAGGGATGAGGAGAAACTCTCCTAACTAATTCAGGGTTCTTGGATTTTCAGAAGCCACCAGTATCTGATTCTCAGCCTGACCTCAAAGCGGTACCATAGGCTCCTTCCCCAACCTGGAGTAGTTTTGGGGATCTACATTGTGGCCCTCATGCTCAGAGCATCACTCATCCACAAGGCTGTACCTGGCTCCTCAACTCTGAAAAATTTCTGGGCTTTTGACTCCAGTAGGTCATAGTGATAAAATAGTAAAATAATAGCAATGGAATTCGAAGAAAGCTATCTGGTACCTCAGGAGGTAAAGGCCAAATCCTTTGAAGCTTACAGAGAATTTTCTTTTTTTTCCCCCTTTTTAAAAAAATGTATTTTATTTTATTTTAATTTCTTTTATATATTCAATCACTATACATCACTTAGCTTGTAAAGTGAATTTTACAACATGAATACACTTCATACCAGTCCAGTTGCGGATACTATACATGTCATTATCAACAGATAATAATCCATTTCTAGCTAGAACTTTCTAGCTGCATGCTACCATAAACAAATCAAGCAATGTTTAATGATCACATGAAGGCAATGTACATACCCATTCCATCAGTATGTGCAGTCATTATATGTCAATTTAAAAGTGATATTTAAAAAATAATCCAGGCAAAAGAAAATAATACCAAACCCAAAAAACTTCAGAAGGAAGTGGAACTGCAGGTTGTTGACTTTGTGTGGATTTCAAGCCAAGCTTTCTTCTGCTACAGGAGTGTAGAGGAAGCATGCTTAACTCTGTGGCATCTTTACCCAGCATGGGAAGGGAGGTCCTCCCATCACACAGAGAGACTGATGGCATTCAATTATGCAATTATGAAAGTAGGTGTAGCAGTTTTACTAAGCAACTCTGGTCAACAGTACTGGAAAAATACAAGCAATTTTCTGCTTCAAGGGAGATAAGCATACTCGTTCCAGTTGCCTGATGCAGTAATACCAGGTTAACCTGGAAGCTGCATTATCCAATAGGTACAACCCTGGGTGGGGCCATGAACCAGGACAGCAGCCAAAAATGAATGAAAGCTACCATGAGCACTTGTTCCTTCCCCGAAAGTCTGAGGTGCTTACTCAGAACCTATTTGCTCTGACTTTACAATAGGATTAAGACATAGCTTGGTCTATAGGCGTTGGTAGTGATGAGATCTCTGATAGGGTTTGCCATAGGGCGGGCACCACCATGCCTGAGATCTTTGATAGAGTTTGAAGGTACAACTGATAACCCAACAGCAAGGGGTAATAAAATGGAAGGATGAATCCCAAAGCAGGACCATCTGGGCACCCTGCGAGGCGTGGTCACATAGGTGACTGAGGTAGTGTCCTTTGCACAGTAGTTATCTAGAATATACAGACTTGAAAGCTTCTGATAGGCCCGATTTCCTCCCGAAGAGTCATTTAATATTTTACACTTTCCCAGTGAAATGAGATGGTTGTACACACTTTTCCAGGAGTGGAATTGCTTGGTCATATGGTAGTTCTATTTGAAGGTCTTTGAGGAATCTCCATGATAGAGTTTGTTTTTCTTTTCTTTTCTTTTTTTTGGGAGGGGCAGGGGAGAGAGGTTTTTGCTATGGGACACATGCGCTCACCAGAAAGACAGAGACAGAGATATAGAAAGTGAAAAACCACCCCCCAAGGGTATGGCCACATCGCAATCCCTTCTCCTCCATTCTCCTCTCAGGATCTTGGGCACACACACACACTTGCCCAGTGTGAGTTTTAAGCCACCGGGTCTGGGACGTGAACTGTGGTCAACTACATGGGAGTCCAGCGACATATCCATTAGGCCAACTGCTGTTCCCGTGATTCATGTTTTTTGTTTTTTTGTGGTGTCCAGTTTTTCTTTCATATTGTAGAAGGACTTCCTCATCTCTTGGAGCTCAATGTCTCTTTTCTCTTAAATCTCATAGAATTTCGTTATCATGAATGCTCTAAATTCTTTTTCTGACATTTTAGTAATATTCTCTAATATTTCCCTAGTTGGAGACGAGTTAGTGTGGTCCCTTGCGGGTGGTGTATTACTTGGTTCTCTTATCCTTGGAGCTCTCTTCATAATTTTTGGTTATTGGTATTTTATTCACCTTTGGCTAATTTACAGGAGAAGGAGTTTGTGGGTGTGAGTGCGTATGTTTCCCTAACTGTGCCATAATTCAGTGCTATTTTCTCCCTTCTACTGTGTCCTTCCATGTAGGGATCACAAGAGGAGTTTTGAAATTGGATTTATGAAGGAGAGTTTCTCGCTTTTTGCAACCAGTACAGTGAGGGGCAAAGAATTCTCTAAAACTCCCAATATTCAGATGTGTGGTTACCATGTACCTAGGCTTCTCTACGCAGTGGATAAGGGTTTAGTAATAAAAATAGTAAAGCAAAGAAAAAGAAAAATAGAGTAGAAAACAGCAATAGGAAGAAACAACGAAATAGGAAGAAAAGGAAAGCAGATATGGGAAGAAAAAGTAAAGAAATAGGAAGAAAGAGAAAGAACTAGAACAGAAGGAGAAGAAAAAAAGATACCACAGAAAATAAAAAAGAGTTAAAAACTAAAAATGTGCAGGAAAGCAGACATGGACCTGCCTTTTGGTTACTGACCTAGGTGAGAGGAAGAGAAAGAAATTAACAAGTTAAAAGCACAAAAAAGGGGATAGAAAAGCTGCCCTTTTTTTTTTTTTTTGCTTGAAGAAGAGGGAAAAAACGTTGGAGGGACAGAAATAAGGAAGAGGGAAATGCAGTTCTTTTCCTACCTGGCTAGCCCTGGATTCGGGTTGTGGTGGGGTACTGGCCTTGCTGGGGGAGCTTCACCGCTGTCTAGCTGGACTCAGATGGTGCAGGGCAGCAGAGATGAACCTGCCTGTTGGAGCCTGGCTAGCCCTGGTTCTGCATCATTATTATTTTAATTGTTAAAATTAGGCATCAAATATCTACTCCTTAAAAATATATAACGCTTAGGGCCAGCAGGTGGCATGGTGTTTAAGACGCTGGATCCCACATGGCCAACTCCATGGTTTGAGTCTTGGACCCACTGGCTTGAGACACATATCTGCCTGTGCCTATGCATTCCCAAAATCTGAGGGGAGACTGTAGAAGGAATTAGTGTGGCCATTCCCCTAGGGTGGGGGTGATTTCTCACTTTTCCTTTGTCTTTCTCTGTCAGTCTCCAGAAAGCAAAAACTCCCTGTGACAAAAAAATAAATGAATGTGGGGGTGATTTCTCACTTTTCCTTTGTCTTTCTCTGTCTGTCTCCAGGAAGCAAAGACTCCCTGTGGCAAAAAAATAAATGAATAAAAGAAAGAATGAATAAATAAAATAAAATTAAAAATATATACCATATATTTTCTGCCTCTAGGATTAACATGAATTTGAATGCAGCATTGGCTTTAAATATATTTTTAAGCTAGCTTTCAATATTTCTCACTTTTCCTTTGTCTTTCTCTGTCTGTCTCCAGGAAGCAAAGACTCCCTGTGGCAAAAAAATAAATGAATAAAAGAAAGAATGAATAAATAAAATAAAATTAAAAATATATACCATATATTTTCTGCCTCTAGGATTAACATGAATTTGAATGCAGCATTGGCTTTAAATATATTTTTAAGCTAGCTTTCAATATTAAGTCACAATAAGTTCTAGTTCTTCCTTGTAGGAGTGAGTCAGTCTCTCTCTTTTTCTATTTTGGGGTTGATTCAGTTGTATTTGCATAGGATTTTTTACCTTTCAAAGTGTTTTCCCTTCCATGTAGCCCTTCTCTTCCATTCACACATCCTTAGTTGACCATCTTGCGTCCTCTGGCCTGGAGTACTTACTGCAGCAGCTCCATCTCTCTCTTCTGGGAATCTCCCAGCCAAATGCTTCTACTGCTTAATTTTCCTAAAGTTGAGTTTCTCACTCTAACTTGGGGGAAAGACATATCCGTTCCGTATTCCTTTCCAGTGTCGTAGCTCCTTCCCAGTCCACATTCCTTGCCAGTTTCCAGTGTTGTTTTACTCTGTAGCCTACTCGCTTCCCCTGCTCTGTGTTCTACTTGTGCTGTTTGACCTGCAGAACACTTTCCATCTCTCCACGGAGTTACACGTGTTCGTCCTCCAAGGTCTTTCCCACTCTCGGTGTCCCTCACTTACCACCTTCCCAGTTCTCCGACCTGCCGTACTTACCCAGTGCATGCTTGAAATCCACACGTTCGTGCACGTATCCTGTCCTGTCTCTTACGTCAGGAACATACGACCCACCAACAGTCGTGTCTCCTCGGGCACCTGATATCCTTCACTGAGTAGATACCCTGTATCTGTCATTCCATTCTTATTGAGATCCTATGATCTAGGCGGGGCCAAGGGTCCTTTCCATTTATAGACCCCTCAGTGATCAAATGTCCCTCAGGTAATGAACGACTAATTCCAGATCTTTTGTTTGTTTAGATGTTTGTTTTGCTCAGGCAACATCTCCACTCTGATGTAATTTGGCTCAAAATTACTTCAGTTGGCCCTTGTCTAAACTTACCTCCTTTTTGGACACTGGACGTATCCAGATCCATTAGAAACCACGATGGAGGTTTGTTTCCTACTTCCTCTTCCTTCCTTTGCCGTCCTTGTAGACTTTAGGAGCTGGTGCCAATCCTCAGAGCTCCGTCACGGGTTCTCCTTGCCTTTCCATCACACAGGATCTCACAGGAGTGAGCTCAGTCCTGCTGTTTTCTAAGTGTGACTTCGTGTCACTGCGGAACACATTCACTGTTCTTCTTCTTTATTCAGGCACTTCGTCTTAGTAACTCGGCCATGGGGAAGACAACCACGGGCCAGATAGTCAATCTATTGTCCAACGATGTGAACAAGTTTGATCAGGTAAGCTGTATGGAGGGGATCCTTTTTAGCTCATGCCCTTTGTGTTCCGGTTATCTTAGATGCCAATTTTGGGCGCAAGGCAACTTCTCTCAAGGACAAAAGACGGGAGTACTTTTGATTCTTCTCTCACTTCTGTGTGTGACTTTGATGTAATTACGTGTTTGTCCTATAGATTCGAGTTTGTGTTTCTGATATTACCTCCGACGTGCAGCAGTACTAAATAACAGCGTTCCTGCTCTACTTGGTTCAATGTACCTAATGCTCCTCCTTTAACATCCCGTCTTAACTTAGTGCTCGGTGAAAGGATTTGGACGGGATTGCCCTTCCCGTCCTCTTGATCATGATCTCCTGGTGGGCAGGGCTGATTTTTTCCCCTGTGCCCAATAGGGTGCCTGGTACATAGAAAGCCATTGTTTACTAATGCCAGTGGGTATCCCAGCCAGAAGTAACGCACTTTTCTCCTTGTCCACACAGCCATGTGTTTATAATGATCTGATGGGGTGTATACATTATCCAGGGCATCCTCACTGTTGATCAGATCTCTAGTTCTAAGAACTAGAAAACTAAGGCCCCAACTCAGTGTCAGGGATAAATGAGACCTGATTTCTGCACTGAAGCTCACAGCTGTGTTGGGAAGATAAATAAACAAGTAATTGCTGGAGAATGTGGTGGGCACCATGATTCCGGCTTTTCTTGGGTGCTAGGGAGCCCCAGTGGAGATGGGGACTGGATTTTGTGACAAGAAAGAGTTCTGGGAAGTGCTCAGCTCATCGGAGCTAGGCAACATAACCATTATGCCATCTGCTGGTTCTGGATTACTTTCTTTTTACAATTAGTTAATCAGTTAATTAATTTATATTTGACCAGACAGTGAGAGAGAGAGAGAGGAAGAGAGATTAGGGGGAGAGAGAGAGAGAGAAAATGAGAAAACTAGCTGCCAGGTCTGGGACTCAAACCATGGTCGACCATGTGGGAGTCCAGCATCCTTAACCGCCACACTGCCTACCATAATGAAATTTAAATTTTTCTCTAAGAAAAAAAAAAAAGAGTCAGAAAAGGGAGGGAGTGTAAAAATGTGTAACACAGACTTCTGAACTACAGCTGGGTGTTACATGAAATAACTTGTCGACCCATGATTGGTTGCTGTAAATGGTCTTCAGCCCTCTGGTGGGTAAGGAGAGAGACACTTTAGGTTTCTGCTCCAGGAGGCTTAAAGCCCGCTCCGATTGTTCTGCTTAGGCTCCTGCCTGCTCCTTTCAAGTTGGTTGTTTCTCTTCTGAGTTCCCATTGGTTTTGTTGTCATGTAGCCTTCAGAATGCTGCGTCTTTTCCTTTGCAGGTAACAATCTTTTTACACTTCCTATGGGCAGGACCACTGCAAGCTATTGCGGTGACTGCCCTGCTCTGGATGGAAATAGGAATATCATGTCTCGCCGGGATGGCCGTTCTACTTGTTCTTCTGCCTTTGCAAAGCTGTATCGGGAAGTTGTTTTCCTCACTGCGGTAAGAGAAACAGTGGTTTGAAAAATGTCACGTGTATTTGGTGACATCCACGTGATGCTAGATGCTTTTGTTCAGAAACAACATAACAAAATTAATTGTAAAATATTAAAATCTCTTCTTTGCATTTATGTTGCAGGCTTTTTAAGTTTCGCCCCTGGGGGCTCCATCCTTAAGCTACTCTTATGGGGCAAAGGGAAAGGTGCTCAGTGGCCCCTGCCAACTAGATGGCAGGCAGTGTATGTAGCCTCAGTAAGGGGTGTCCTTGTCAGAATTCACACATATGGGGTTATTTATTATGCACATAAAATAATGATAGATTAGAGGTCCAGTTTAGGCCTGTGTTGTTGTTCGAGCTTTTTTCATGATTGTTATGTGTGCCTTTTCTTTTTAAAGAACCAAGTAAACCAGTGAATTTGATTATTTTAAAAAAAATATATTTATTTGTTCCATGAGTGAGAGACACAAACACACAAAGATACAGCACCCATGGACCAGCAGGTGGCATGGTGGTTAAGGTGCTGGTCCCACATGGCCGACCATAGTTTGAGTCCTCTTCTGTGCCTTTGCTCGTGGTATTCTCTCTACTTTGAATTTTCCTTCCCCTCTTTTCTCTCTGCAATTGCTTTTTTTTTTTTTTTTTAAAACCTTTAAGACATTGTTAAAATTTTTTTTTTTTTTTAAACCTTTAAGACCTTGTTCATATTCTTCTAGTACTCTGAAGCTTTTTGCTTTCTTCTTAACCAATAGAATCAACAGCCCTTCCTTTTCTGGTCTCCAACACTTTCTTCCTATCTTACTACACCTCTGCCGACTGCACTGTGAGGTTCCAGTGGACTCCTTCCCTCCCACCTGTGAGCTTGAGGTGACGGTTTATATCTGACTTATTTTCGTGTTTTCCTCAGCAGATATTGCACCTTCTCCAAAATACTTACTGAGCGGGGATAAATTGTTGACTTCCTAGTTGAAGTCTTCCCATTTGTATTTCGAGTAGGATGTGTCTGTGTTGTCGGTGCAGAGCAGCCGTAGGGAATCATCTGGGCCGTGGTCTCTGTGCCCGCTGCTGATAAGGAGCATTAGGCTGTGATCACTCTGGCTATCTCTCGTGTCTGTCCCCTGTAGGAGTAAGACTGCAACTTTCACTGACATCAGGATCAGGACCATGAATGAAGTCGTCACTGGCATAAGAATAATAAAGATGTATGCCTGGGAAAAGTCTTTTGCAGACCTGATTACCAGTCTGAGGAGGTGAGTTTTTGTATAAATCGTACCATGTTTTTGTATTTCTCTATTTCCTATTTTTACTGAGTAGTTTTGGAAATGTATGCTTTCACTTTAGAGTGAACTTAAATGCAGTCTACCCACTTCCCCGTATGGCAGCAGGGGAAGGTAGAACAGAATAGGGTAGCCTTTTATGTTGGTATTCTATTTGCCATTTTCTTTCTTTCTTTCTTTCTTTTGGGAGAGGTTTTCTCGCTATAGGGCGTGTGCGCTCGCCAGACAGAGAGAAACAGAGAGACAGAAAGCGAGAAATCACCCCCCAGGGAGGATGGTCACACCGCAGTCCCTTCTCCTCCATTCTCCTCTCGGGATCCTGGGCACGCACGCACACGCGCCCGGCGTGAGTTTTAAGCCACTGGGTCCGGGACGCGAACCGCGGTTGACTACATGGGAGTCCAGTGACATAGCCATTACGCTAACTGCTGGTTCCCCCATTTTCTTTTTGAGAGAGATTTTCTTGCTGTAGTGTGTGTGCACTTGCCTGAGAGTCAGAGGGACAGAAAGAGAGAAATCAGCCCCAGGGAATGGCCACACATCAATCCCTTCTTCTTCATCATCTTCTTGGGATTTTGGGCATGTACGTACACATGCCCAGTTTGAGTTTTAAGCTGCTGAGTCTGGGACTCAACACGTGGCCAACTCTGTGGGATTCCAGTAATGTGACCATTACGCCATCTACTGGTCCCTCATTTGGCATTTTCTGAAAGCAAAAAGTATATTTGCTGCTTGCTAATATGCAAACGAAAGGCAAAATACTTCTGAATATCTCAAATCCCCAACGCCCCCAGAATCTTAAGACATTAGAATTTGAAAACATCAATATAGTTTATATTACTGTAGCACAAATGGCAATACTTACATTAGGCCAAAATCTATGTGAATTGGTATTATCCATTCCAAATGAAGCTTTGGATGCTGTTCCCTTTTGTTTTGCTTTATGTTTTTGGGAAATCCGAGGGATTTGATTTAAATATTTGATTAGTTTTTGCATTCTAGCACTTGATACTTCTTAGAATTCCCCAGTAGCACGTGGCTGCGCCTCACCTCTGCCCCGTTGCAGGCCTTCTGATCCTTCCCGTGCACCCTTTTCTTTCACTCTTGTCTGGCCTCTGCCACTTGTGCCACCTCCTTGACTCGACTACTCCGCGTTACCTGAGCCATGTCTGTTCTCCCACCTGGTCCTGTGTTTGCCGGCTACTTCTGTCTCATGTGTTAGAGTCTCACCATTATGGCATTGTTTATTCTCTTCTCATGTTTTCATAAGCTAATGGAAGGGGCAGGACATTCATCCTTGTCATTAGTGACGGCCCTGGCACAGGACTCATGTTTACAAATATTTGTTGAATGAAGGTCCAAATCCAGACCGACTGGCCCAAATTGTCAAACTGTGACATTGAGTATCATTTCATTGGATGAGTGAAGTGATTATCCAGTGGTCTGTGTGTTCCTTGCATGGAAGCAAGTGGCTGCTTTCAAATATTTGCACAACATAAGAGATGGTTTATATTGGGGCCAGAAGGTGGCGTGGTGATTAAGGTGTGGACTCCCACATGGCCGACCATGGTTCCAGGCCTAGACCTGGTGGCTTGAAAATCACACTGGGCATGTGTGTGCATGTCCAAAATACCAAGAGGGGAATGGACGAGAGGGGATTGCCATGTGGCCACCCTCCTGGGAAGTGATTTCTCACTTTCCCTCTCTTTGTCTCTCGGTCTCTGGTGAGCACATGCACCTCATGTCAAAAACTTTAAGGAAAAGAGAGAGAGCGCGTTCACTGATTTATCTTAATCTCTGTCCCCTCTGCCCAGAAGGGCCACATGCAAAAGGCATTTAATTCCATGATGTTGAGATCGATGCTTTCTTTAAAAACTTGAATTCTACTTTTGTTTTTAGGAAGGAAATTTCCAAGATTCTGAGGAGTTCCTACCTCAGAGGGATGAATTTGGCATCATTTTTCGTGGCAAGCAAAATCATCGTGTTTGTGACCTTCACGACCTATGTGCTCCTTGGCAACGTGATCACAGCCAGCCGTGTGTTTGTGGCAGTGACGCTGTATGGGGCTGTGCGGTTGACGGTCACCCTGTTCTTCCCCTCGGCCATTGAGAGGGTGTCAGAGTCAGTCGTCAGCATTAGAAGAATCAAGGTTTGGTAGCAAATGTTTTGAAGTCGTAGTTGTCTTTAAGTGACATGTTGCCTCCTTTTGTGTAGTGTTACAGAATCCTGGGCACACGCACGCATACCCATTATGTTTTTCAGGTTGCTGGGGCCAGCACTCAAGTCCTGGTTGGCCATGTGGGATCCAGCTTCCTCGGCAGAGCACTTAACTGCGATGCTATGGGCCAGCCCCCGTACCTAGCATTAACTGGGTTCTCCGTTTGGCCTGGGGGGTGGATGAGGGAGGGAATGAGTGAACAGGGAAGTGTCTGAGGCTTGCTGGGCTTTGAGAGAAATGCGTAGGAACCTACTTTCTTTTTCGTACATGGAGCAACATTTTCATTTTCAGTTTTTATCAGTTCTTTCGAAATAGAGCATTATAATCAAGCTGGTAACTTTGTTGTGATAGATTTTAAGGACTTAAAGAGTGTTCACAAATTTTCGAGTAGTCGTCTTGTGTGAGTGTTGTCCTTAGAGATTTGCACATGCTTATTTTAGTTGCTTCCTACTTTAGTTAGGGTTGTGTTTGCCTGTGAATTCTAAAATACCCGTGTAACAGCTGTACATGAGGTAGTTTATTTTTCTCTTGTGCAAAAGTCCTTGTGAGGATCTGTGAGGTTTCCTAGGTATATAGTAAGAAACTCCTGCAAACCGGATGGCTTGAAACAACAGTTATTCTCACACTTCCGGAAACTGAAAGTCTGAAATAGACATGCTGGTAAGGCCTTGTGCCTTCTGGAACCTTTAAAGGGGCGGGATCCTTTCTCACCTCTTCCAGCTTCCAGTGGTGGTGAGCCGTCTTTGGCTTATAACCGTGTCACTTCAGTCTCTGTCTCCCCTCTCACATGGCTGATTCTTGTTCTGTGTATCTGTCTTCTTTTCATACAAGCACATCAGTCACGTTAGATTTAGGGTTTGCCACGCTCCAATGTGGCCTTCTCTTAATTGAGTATATCTGCCACAATCCTATTTCCAAATTAAACTTACTTTTCAAGGTACTGAGGTTACTGGGGACTTCAATATACTTCTGAGGGGTATCTGTACTGTTGTAATGAAATATTACAGACTGGGTAATTTTTAGGGAACAGAAATTTATTTCTCATGGTTCTGGAGGCTGGAAAGTCCAAGATCAGGGTACAGGCAGGTCTGCTTGTCTAGTGTCTTAATGTTCCTTCCTTGGAAGGGGGGAAACGGCGATCATGTGGCGGAAAGTGGAAGGGCAAGAGAACCGGACACTGAAGACTTTTTATAAGGAGCCTCAGTCTCATTCCCAAGGGAACACCCCTCATGGCTGATCATTTTTTTTTAAAGGTTTTTGTCATGGGGCACATGTTCTCAACAGAGAGAGACAGAGAGAAACCACTCTCTAGGGCAATGGCCACACTGCAATCCCTTCTCCTCCATTCTACTCTCAGGACTTCAGGCACAAACATGGATGCCTGGTGCGATTTTTCAGGCCTCTGGGTCCAGGACTCAAACTGCAGTCGGCCATGTGGGAGTCCAGCTCCTTAATCACTATGCCACTTTTCTGGCCTGATCAATCTCCCCCCCCCTTTTTTTTTAAATTTTAACTTTATTATTTTATTTATTTCTTTATATTTGACCAGAGAGAGAGAGAGAGTAAAAACATGAGAAAACAAGCTGCCGTGTTCGGGACTCAAACCACAGTCAGCCACGTGGGAGTCCAGCTCCCTAAACCACCATGCCATCTGCTTGCCCCCTTTTTTATTTTTTTAATTTTAACTTTACTATTTTATTTATTTATTTGATCATCACTTTTTAAAAGCCCCTCCTGTTTATACCATCACATGGGTCATTGAGTTTCAGCTCGTGAGTTTTGGAGGAGACAGTCAAGCTACATTGAGAGGGGCAAACCATTCATCCCATTACAGGTTCTGTGGCTTGTCTGATGTTTCACAGTATGAGACCAGACTCTTCCTTTCTTCTTTATTTTATGTGACCTTGACCAAGATGGAACATTCCCGGCTGTTGTCACTTTCCATTGGTCATTGGTCTGAACGCAGGCCTTGTGCCTGCACTCGCTGCGCTGGAGGCTGGGAGAGTGGTTCTGATCCCAGCATGTCATGCACTGGCTAAACGTGGGGTTCTGTTGCCACTGAAGACTGAGAACAGATTTTGAAGGAAGTCAACAGTTTCTGCCACAGTACAAAATTCCGGGGTGGCGATGTGTGCATTATTTATTCCATTTCTGTGCCACTGTAACTTCCTCATGGAATTCCATCTAGCATTTGAGGAGCAAGAGGGAGTTTCCCTCTGTATCATTATGTAAGGATAGTGTGTTGGCAGGACTTCATTATAGTGCATTGAGTAGCTGCTAATTAGTGTGGAAAATGAGTGGACAAGGAGTGGACATTTATTAAGGAGAATGACAAATGATTGGGAAAGAATTTATAAAATACATTTTAATGGAGACAAACTTAATTACTCAGTGAAGGTATGTATATATGTATTTGTTTTTTGCCATAGCACATGTGTGCTCACCAGAGAGAGAGAGAGACAGAATGAGAGAGAGAGAGAGAGAGAGAGAGAGAGAGAGAGAAGGTACTCACTCCCCCATCAGGTATGATCACTCTACAGTCCCTCTTCCTCCATTTCCCCATCCTTTTTGGGTTTAGGGCTTGCACACACTCCTAGCATGTTTTTCAAGATGCTGGATCTGGGATTTGAACTGCGTAGTTGGCCAAATGGGATCCAACTCTCTTCATCACCAAACCATGCAGCCAATTGGAGAGTCGCCCTCCTCCTCCCCAACTCCTCTCCCCATCCTTCTCCCCCTCCTTCCTGCCCCTCCCTTCTTCCTCCTCCTTTTTTCCCTCCTCCTTCTGTTTTCTATAGGGTAGAGATGCTTATTGGAGAGAGGGAGAGAGAAGTTGAAACAAATAGAAACAGAACGTGAAAGTGACCCCCTAGGGAAGACGGCCACGTCACAATCCCTTTTCCTCCATTCTCTTCTTTCTCAGGATTTTGGGGACACAAGCACTGTTGTGTTTCTCAAACCACCAGGCCTGGGACTCAAACCATTCAGTTGACCATGTGAGGTCCAGTCATCCCAACCACCATGACGACTGTCTGGCCTCTGAGAGCATGTCTTTCTTTTTTATTAAAAAAAAAATTATGTACTTATCATTACATTTAATTGCTATACATCTTTGCAGTGTACAACATGGTTTTTCTCAGCTTGAATATAGTGCATATTGTCTTGAGCATTTCTTTAGAAGGATGATATGAGTGAGAGTTGATGACAAGGTGTCCTGTATTGATCTGACACACAGGAGCGGGGAGGAGGGCAGAGCGAGTCGGCAGAGGACTCTGCACACAGACGGCACGGCGAGGCTTCCCTTCCGAGCTGACTGTTAGCATTATGTCTCCCACCTGCCCTAATGTGCTGGCTAGATTCCCAAAGTCCTGGGGATGGCCTTCATCGTGGTGCTCTGAGCATCTTTTATGGCATCTGCCATCTGCTGAGGATTCAATAAATATTTACTAAACCATTTCCTGCCAACCCTGTGTTTACTGTTAGTAACACAAAAGTTAAACAATAAAAGCCTCCAGGTTCTAACCATGGTCAATTCTGCAGCAATATTTTTTCTTTAGTAAGGAACCAGTGCACTTGTCCAGAACATTGCAAAGATAAATGCCTTGTGGTCGTGAGCCCTTTATTTACTTAAGATTTATTTTTCTTTTCTTTCTTTTTTTTTTTTTTTTGAGAGGTTTTTGCTATAGGACGCATGCGCTCGCCAGACAGACAGAGACAGAGTGACAGAAAGCGAGAAATCACCCCCCGGGGAGTATGGCCACGCCATAATCCCTTCTCCTTCATTCTCCTCTCGAGATCTTGGGCACGCACACACACGGGCCCGGCGTGAGTTTTAAGCCACCGGGTCCGGGACGCGAACCGCGGTCGATCATGTGGGAGTTCAGCGACATAGCCATTACGCTAACTGCTGGTCCCTTTATTTACTTATTAAAAATATAGTATGTTCTGATGTGAACCGGTACTTTAGATACAGGTGGGGAAAATGATCTGTAGCCTATATAAAGTTTTATATTGCAGAATCTCTGGAACCTGTGATTTTCATTTGTGCTTTTGTTTCAGCAGTATAAATAATCTGTTTCTTTTGCCTTTTTTTAGAACTTCCTGTTACTTGATGAGATACCCCAGCATAACCCTCAGCTGCCATCGGATGGGAAAATGATCGTAAATGTGCAAGATTTCACTGGTTTTTGGGATAAGGTAACACATCTTCTATGCCAAAGTTGTGACTGCTATAAAACCGAGGGCAACATTGATTTAATATATCACTAGATCATTTACTCCAAATGGATCATAAAAATGCTTAAAATCAGGAGTCAGATTGACAACCGTGAGTACAAGGTGTAAGAAATCAGCATAACGTGTTTGACAAGTTGTTTTTTATCTCATTATAAAAGAAAACTTTTGGTCTCATTAAATAAGAAAACAGACCAGGGCTCAGTGTGGAAAGGGTTAACTCATACATATGCTGTAACTTGCCATGGAGACTTTGGGGCATCATGTTCCGTTTCACCGTAATTATTTGATGTTAGGAAAAGCCCATGAGTTCGGTTTTTGAGGTGAGTTTCGGCTGGGGGCTCTGGTCAAAGCCTCAGGACCTTGCTGGCTGCATTGGTAGCTGCCCAGGGCATGAAGGCTTAGGAGCCGCATGGATTCCTAACTGCAGGGTTCACTAGGTGGCAAGTGGACAGGTGGGGCTTGGTGAGGCCACAAGCGTTTTTCCACACCTGGCTTCCTTAGGACAAGTGGGAAAGCCACTGTTGGGCGAACGCACACGCCCTACAGCAAAAACCTCTCAAAAAAAAAAGAAAGAAAGAATAAATGGAGAAACAACGTTTTATTAAACATGAGCAGTTATTGAGAATTTTCTTGACGTTTAGGATGTAAAAGCGTACAGGGCCTTCTCCATGGGTTAGTGCATAAGGGAAGTGGATCGCACATGACTGACCATAGTTCGAATCCCAGCGCCACTGGTTTGAGAGCCACAGTGGGCGTATGTGCATGCGTGCCCCAAGCCGTGACAGGATGTAGGGATGGAGGAGAGGGGCTGTCATGACCCTGCCCTAATGGGGGATGCTTTCACCTTTCCCTCTCTGTCTCTGCCTCTCTGGAAGTTAAAAAATACACACACACACCCTTAAATCTCTTTATCCTGGGATTGGAGAACATCAATCGTCATTGCTCCATGAATGTGACCCCCATGTTTCTCACATTTTAGGACTTTTTACTGGAGTCCTTTTTATCCAATCGCATTTCTCTGTGGGGTTTGGAGTGGTTCAACAACTCCACTATTTAAGGAAGCTGTATCTGAATCCCAGCCAGAGTCTCTGGAATGTGGTTTCTGGTGGTGGTGCGATGAGTACCTTATTCCCCACCCCACCCTCGTGTGCTTGGCACTTGCCCAGTGAGGCCGAGGTGACGTTTATTCAGGGTAGGGAATGCATGCCGCGAAATAGACATAGGCTTTATCATGTCAACCCGTGATCCCATAGAGATCGGATCTTTATTCTTCATTCTTTTCATTGTCCTCGTTAACTTAGAGGGCCAGCTACAACACTGACTTGTGGGAATTCATTTGGCTAGAATGGCTTTATGATATAAAGTGCCCTTTTGCTTGCTGAGCACTACCGAGATTCGTTCTTTTTTCAAGCGAGAATCAGGATTAGTGGAAGGGCTGGGAATGCCTGTGCTTAGGCCGCCACCTTGTGGCCATCAGTGAAATAGAAGATTAAAACCAAGGGTCCTAATGAAAACTTAATAACTGATTAAAAACCTCCCATCCTGAATATTCTATGAAGAATATCATTTTAGTAAGTTGGTGTGTGCCAAGAAGTTTTCATTTCAAGAAAGCTGCCTTCTCATTTGTATTATTTAAATTCTGGATGTTAAGGACTGTGTTCGTCTGGAAACCTGGTTAAAGGGAACACACCTTCCTTAAATATTGACGTTGCTGAACTCCTTCACATCCCCATAGAGAAATGTGATGGGATGAAAAAGATGCTGGAAAAACATCCTAAAATAGAAAAGAGAATTATGTGGGTTAAACTCATGTATCAGTGACTACTGAATTATGTTCTCCAGGCTCGGAAGTGGTTTGTGTTACTTTATTGAAATGGACACGTGTTTGTAAACTAATTTGCAGGCATCAGAAACCCCAACCCTGCAAGGCCTTTCCTTCACTGTCAGACCCGGTGAATTGTTAGCTGTGATCGGACCTGTGGGCGCAGGAAAGGTAAGTTAAAACGCTTTCCAGTCTCGATCACGCCACATCCCGATTTAAATTCTTAGGGTTGAGCCCCAAACTGTGTAACACAATCATTTTTCTGAGTGATTTTGGTTATAGGACGTGTGCTTGCCAAAGAGACAAAGAGGTCGAAAGTGAGAAATCACCCCTCAGGGGCGATAGCCACACCGCAGTCCCTTCTCCTCCATTGTTCTTTTGGGGATTTTGGGCACACACACACTCAGTGTGATTTGAAGCCACTGGGTCCTAGACTTAATGCATGGGAGTCCAGTATTTTAACCACTGTGCCACCTGCTGGCCTCCCTGTAGCACAATTTTGAGCCAGTGTACCTGGAATGGCATTTTTCAGTGTGTTGTATGCAACATTAGGTTGTTTTTGTTTTTTGCTTCTGTTATCACCCAAGGGCGTGTGCACTTGCCATAGACAGAGCTCCCCCCTCCGCTCAGCGGGGATTTTCACACTGTGCACTTGCCATAGACAGAGCTCCCCCCTCTGCTCAGCGGGGATAGTCAATTCCTGGTCCTTTTGCCTTCATTTCTTCATCCTGTCAGGATTTTGCAGCATGTGTGTCTTCGCACATATGTGCATGCACACACACACACACACACACACACACATGCCTACAAAGTTTTTCAAGCTCTCTGGACCAGGATTCCAACTGAGGTTGGTCATGTGGGTTCTGGTTCCCTGTGCATGTGGCTTAATTGGCTCTCTGGACCAGGATTCCAACTGAGGTTGGCCATGTGGTTCCCTGTGCATGTGGCTTAATTACTGTGCTATGGGGCTGAACATTGGTTTTGCTGGATGGTCCCATGGCCCAATCCATCTGGGCAACATGAGTTCTGTTCCTCTTGGTGCCTCAAGTTGCATGATGGGGATCATTTCATGTTGCAGTCAACATCTCTGGGAAGGACGTTGCTCCTGTGAGTGTTGCTGAGGATGCAGTGACTGAGGGGGGGGGTCTTTTTGTCAGAACAGACTACATGCTATAGGCTGGACATCTGGAAGTCGTAAAGTCATTTCCTCATATGGCCCACCCAAGTCACATTAGCACACATGCAGTAAACATGCAGCCACGTGTGGAGGCGCTGTGTTAGGAGCAAAAATCACAAACACGCAAGACCCCGACGGATCTGGCCTCCGGAAGCTCCTGGTTCTGGGGCAACAGAGATAAACATGGTATCAGCTCTGTTGTATGAACACACGTCTCAGCAGACAAAGACAGGTCATGGGTGTGTTATGGAAGACGGTCAGCCAGTTTCTGCATGCACTGAGCCATGGACATTCTCAAACCAAATACAGACGTCGCGACTCAGGCTGCGTAAGCCATGGGCGATTACTTCTCTATGATGGAGTTTTGCCTCCAGAAACTTGACACCAGGGTTCCTTCAAATACAGCTCTTCCTCGTGCCCAGGATACGTTGGTTACTTACAGCCTTTCTGGAGTAAATAACTGTCAAGCAGAGGAACCTGGATATTAGAACGATTCCTTGCATTTTAGATGTATGCTATACATATTATTCTGGGCTACTCTGTGGCTACACACAGTTTTCCTTGTTTCTGAGTAGCATTTTATTTTGGGAGAACTCGTTTGGACAGAGTGGATTGCTACATCTTTTAAAATTTTTTTTCTCCCAGTTTTGCTATAGAGTGTGTGCCATTGCCGGAGACAGATAAAGAAGGAAAATGAGAAATCGCCCCTAGGGGTATGGCCATACCTCAGTCGCTTCTCCTCTTGGGAACTTGGGCACACATGCCAGGCATGATTTCCAAGCCGCTGGGTTGGAGACTTGAACAGCTCAGCTGGCCCTTTGGGATTCAGAGCTTTAACTTCTCTGTCACCTGCTGGCCCAACACTCTTTTATGTCTTTTTAAAACTGTTGACATTGACCAGTAATGTTATTTGTATTTTTTTAATCTCAACTTGTAGTGCTGTACTTTATCCTATTTTAAATGAAAGAATTATGTTGGTCAGACCCCCAGGCCGGACACGGCTGTATTGCATGAACTCGTTCCGTCCTGAGTTTTGCTTGTACACATGTGTTTTCTCCTCCATTTCAGTCATCGCTGTTAAGTGCTGTGCTCAGGGAACTGCCCCCGAGTCAGGGGCTGGTCACCGTGCACGGAAGAATGGCCTATGTTTCTCAGCAGCCCTGGGTGTTTTCAGGAACTGTGAGGAGTAATATTTTATTTGGCAAGAAATATGAAAAGGAACGATATGAAAAAGTAATAAAGGCATGCGCTTTGAAAAAGGTGAGTGAGGACTTACAGATTTCCTGCACTCAGATTTCAAGTACTGTTGGAGAAATTGTAAACTAATAAGGCTTGTGAAAAATTGTCTTTAATTAATTAATTTATTTTCCTCCCTGAGCAAGAGAGAGAGAGAGAGAAAAAGACAGAGTACTGCCGACAGGGTCTTGACCCCGTGATCCACCTCCAGCTTCAGCCAGCCCCAGGTCATACTAGGGAGGTCTCTGGAAGTGAACCCAGAACCTTCCCATGTGGGTCAGCCTTGTAGAGAATTGCATTTTACTGCTGCTCTCGCATCCAGCGCATGAAGCCTTTTTTAAAAATTCTGAACCTCTTTGATCATTTCTTAATACTTTAAGCTGGTGTTTTTGGGTAAGCATGCACATGCCTGCAGACACACACACACACACACACACACACACACACACACACACACTGCTGTTAGCAGGATGCTTTTTTGGGGGGGTATTTCTTTGGTTCTGTGAAGTTTTATTCTCTTTTTTTTAAAGTTATCTATCTATTTATTTATTTAAGGTTTTTGCCATTGGGCATGTATGTGCACTTCTGTGAGAGAGACAGAGAGAGGGAAAGACTCACCCCTATGGGGGGAGGGTGGCCACACTGCAATCTCTCCTCCTCTTGGGATTTTGTGCGTGCATGCACTGACTCCTGGAGTGATTTTTCAAGCCTTCAGGTCTAAGACTTGAGCTGTGGTTGGCCATGTGGGAATCCAGCTCCTTAACTACCACACTACCTGCTGGCCCCTCATCTTTTTTTAAAGCAGGATTACAGATACCTGAGAAGTGGAGCGAGTAGTGCACTGAACCTCCCCACACCCAAGCTCCAGCTGCAGTGACCACCGACTGGTGCTAATCTTGCTTGTCTCTTTCTCTCTCTCTCTCCTCTGTCAGCCCCACCTCACATTATTGTGAACCGGATTATAGATCTTAAAGTATTTTATCTGCAAATATTTCAGCATCTGAATGATAAGAACTCCTTTGGGGGGAAACATCACCTTATCATACCTTAAAAAATGACTCCAATTCCAGAATATCAGTAACTTTGCAGTCAGTGTTTACACTTAGCTGTCTCATGAGGAAACCTTGTGATCCACTGGGCTGAACAGACTTCTGATGAGGTCTGTCAGCCTCGGAGGTCCCTTTCAACCTGTACATTTCACTCGCTACTTTTTGCTTTGCAACTTTTTTTTTTTTTTTTTTTTTTAAGAAGTTTTTGCTATAGGGCACATGCGCTCACCAGAAAGACAAGAGAGACACAAAGAGACAGAAAGTGAGAAATCTACCCCCAGGGGGGCTGACCATGATGCAATCCCTTCTCCATTCTCATCTTGGGATCTTGTGCATGCATGCATGTCCCCACACCTGGCATGAATTTAAGCCACCGGGTCTGGAACTCAAAATGCTGTGGACAACATGGGAGTTCAGTGACATAGCCATTATGCTAACTGCTGGTCCCCTAACGAAAACAAAATGTTTAACAATTTCTTTTTAATACTGCATCAGTTCATCTGGAGAGAGATTGTTTCCATAAATGTCATTGAATTTCTCAAAAATGGGAAGGCAGATGTTTAATTGTACTTTTGTAAGGAAAGTAGAAGTTAGCAAAGAGAAAAGGTAAATGCTGATATACTGATAAATGCCACCTGACCCTCTGGGGTCCTATGAATCTGTGAATAGTGGTGTTAGCTGGCTCTCCCCAAGATCTCCCCAGTGAGGCCTGGGCTTCCTGCTGTTCCTTTATGCCCTATGAGAAAGCTCCTCTCTGCCCCAACACACAGAGACTTTCAAAGGTGTGACAGTGGATGGCTTTTCACCAGGGTGGAGAGGAAAGAATATAATCTTGCTTGAACAATGACCTATCACAAACTATATAGGATGTGTAGCATTTTATGATGTGGACAAAAACATTGCTTGTTTAATTGGCTCTTAAAGCTTTTTCCTGTTATTCTTAATGACAGATAGTGTATTTTCCTAAACGACATCAAGTTAGCAATAATGAGCTAGATTCTTGTTAAATGGTATCTATGTTGTATAAAACAATAAAGCGTAAAGCACAGGGACTGTGGTAAGAATAGCTCCCAGGCCGGCTGGTGGTGGTGTGGTGCTTGGGGCAGCTGGAATCCCACGTAGCTGACTATGTGGCTTGAGTTGTGGACACAGTGGCTTGAAAGGCATGCTGGGCATGTGTGCATACCCAAAACCCCAAGAGGAGAAAAGGAGGAGATGGGACTTCAGCGTGGGCATCCCCTCTACGGAGTGCTTTCTCACTTTCCCTTTCTCTCTCTGTTTCTCTCTGGTGAGTGCTTGCACCCTATAGCAAAATAAACAAACAAATAAATAAACAAACAGTTCTTAAAATGACAGTGTCCATTTGTCTAGGGCCTGCTTTGCATTAATTCTCTGTGTCTTTCTCACACACCCACCACACCACACACACACACACACACACACACACACACACACGCACGCACAAAAAGATATCTCTGTTTCTCTCTGGTGAGTGCTTGCACCCTATAGCAAAATAAACAAACAAATAAATAAACAAACAGTTCTTAAAATGACAGTGTCCATTTGTCTAGGGCCTGCTTTGCATTAATTCTCTGTGTCTTTCTCACACACCCACCACACCACACACACACACACACACACACACACACACACACGCACGCACAAAAAGATATATGATGCTTGTTATTTTTTTGATTGCCGGAGGGTACATGCATTTTCCAGAAAGAAACAACAGAAAGACAGAAGTGGGGGAGAAAGAACCCTCCCCCGTTGAGTTATATCCCTTTTCCCCCATTTCTTCATTATATTCATTATATTGAGATTTTGGGGACACACAAATGTCTGGGAGTTCTTTCCAAGCTTCCGTGATCAGGATTTGAACTGGCATCAGCTATGTAGGATTTGGCTTTCTTTCTTCCTTCCTTTCTTTCTTTCTTTCTTTTTTTTTTTTTGAGAGTTTTTTTTCTTATTAGGTGCATGTGTTTGCCAAAAAGGCAGAGAGATACAGAGAGATAGAAAGCAAGAAATCACCCCTAGAGGGGATGGCCACACCACAATCCCTTCCCCTCTAGGGATCTTGGGCATGTATGCTCATGCCCCTGCCATGAGTTTAAGCCACCGGGTCCGGGACTTGAACCGCGGTCAACTACATGGGAGTCCAGCGACATAGTCATTACGCTAACTGCTGGTCCCTTTTCTATTCAAATTATTATTATTATTATTTTATTTCCCTAGGATTTGGCTTTCTAAGCCACTAGTCTCTGAGGTCAGCTCCATAAGTTTTTCGTCTTGTGCCACGATTTCTTGTTGTCTTCCTCCTTACTCACCTCAGTTTGCAGTTGGTGAAACACTGCACAGTGCACCCAGACACTTGCAGAGTCCCGCGCCTATATTACCATGCGGCTGGAGTTCTTCTTCTAAAGGCTTTAAAGTTGTACTTCAATTACAAAGAAATATATTCATTGCTGTCAGTGAAGTGTATGTGTATTTCTGAAGAACTAATGCACTAAGTTTAGGATGACAGTAGGAGAACGCATTTAAGTCCCATTTCTCCTCTTACTTACATATTTTTTTTCTCCATATAGGATTTACAGCTTTTGGAGGATGGGGATCTGACTGTAATAGGGGATCGGGGAGCCACACTGAGTGGAGGGCAGAAAGCACGGGTGAACCTTGCCAGGTAAGTCGCGTGTCAGTGACATTCTCTACAGGTCTTGGGTGCCGTTCTCGTGCACAGAACCCACTCCTTGCCTGTAGGGTCCTGTGTCAGGCACCAGGCTGGCCTTATTCCACTGGCCCTTGGAATGAGCATCCAAGTTGTTACATGGGGTCACGCTTCCTAGATGAAAGGGGAGGGGTGAAGTATAGTTGTCCCTCAGTAGCTGCGGGCGATTGGTTCCAGGACCTCCTGCAGATGCTGAAACCTGAGGGCACTCAAGCAACTTACATAACATGGCACCATATATGCACGTAAATCACATGAATCGTCCCCTAGCCTTCAAGTTATGTCTAGATTTTCTTATGATACAGTACAACTGCTTCGTAAACAGCTGGAATCTTGCATTCTTTAGGAATAATGACAAGAAAAAGTCTGTAGATATTCAATACCTATGGTACCATTGTCAGCCTAACGGTGTGGTATAACTGAGCCAAAGGAGTGTTCTCCGTCTGAGATCTCGTTCGTTTTCTAGAGCAGTGTACCAGGACGCCGACATCTACCTCTTGGATGATCCTCTCAGCGCAGTCGACGCAGAAGTTAGCAGGCACTTGTTCGAACTGTGAGTTCGTTTTGGGTTTTTTCACATTGCTGCCTTTCCAAGAACCTTTTCACGTTGGCTCAGGAAAGCCCATGTGGCTTCAGAAAATTCAGCTTCTCTTGCTCTGCTGTCCCTTTCCCTTCCTCCCCTCCCCACCACAGACAGGGCATGTTAGAGGAATTTTGCAGAAATGGCGTGGTCAAGGTAAGAACATGCAGGATTCCGATTTGCATGTGTCGAAGTGCGGGGAGCACATACTTTAGGGAGCCAGGAAGTTAGATAGCAAATCTGCAGGTGATTTTCTCCACCTTGCAGTTCCTAGGCAGGAAATCATCTCTTCTGGACCCAGACCTGAGGGATAAGGTAATCGATTTTTAATTCCAAGCATGGGACTCCATCGCCTGGTCCTTGGCTGTCAGTTCCTTTCCTCCTTCATTGGTATTTGTACGTTAAAAGTGGGGTGTGCAGTACCAGCACTAGCCTTCCATGGAAAAGCTTATTAATCTCTTGGTTTGAAAATAGCTAATAAAGTCTAGAATTTATGAATGATTTGTTCCATTTCAAAGTATAGTTTCATGAATTCAGTATTGTTTCATGGATTCTTACTAGAATGAACATTTACGACCCACAGATGTGTAGGGTTAGTTTGCATTTGGAATTAGATCTTTACAGATGTCTGCCCTCTGTGGCAGGAATTGCAACATTCGGAGATAGAACAGTCTGGAGGGCAAGTGCAGACAGCAGGGACTGTGGGATGGGGGTGGATTGTGGTTGAC